TATATTGGTCACGTACATCAACGAGAAGTACGACAAAGTCACCCGGCCTCTGGCGTACGGCGACCTGGCCGGGCAGGACGCCGCTGACCTCACCAACTTCATCACTGCTGCCTTGGATGAGCACGAGTTGAAGGGCACCGGCCTGGTGGCATTTACTGCCGATGGGGCTTCAGTGATGGGGACGAGACAATCCTTGAGCGGCCTGGGCAATGTCGCGAAACACTTGGAGACCTTTGCAGGAGGCCACTTGCTGACAACGCACTGCTGCCCGCACCGTCTGCAGCTTTGCTGCTCGGACGCTTTGTCCGAGGCCGACGCATGGCTCAAGGACCTGGAGAAGCGCGTCAAAGCGCTCCAGCGCCGCCTGCAGTTCAGTGCGGCCGCGACCATCGACCTCTTGTTCTGGTGCGATCTCACAGGCGAAGAGATGGTCAACAGCATGGGGACCAGTTTGAGCAGGCGGGTTTGAAGTTTTTTGTGCTGACACAACAATCATCCCAACTTGCGGAGTTTCGACTCCCTCCCCAAGCTGCCCTGGATCGCCCCAGACATAAAAAGGAGCTTGGANNGCTGCCGGGCTGGCTGAAGGCTTGTAGAGGCTCCAGCTCAGCGGAAAAGGCCGCGCGGGCCAGCAGCCCGCAGCTGAATGATGCCGGAGGCTCTCGAAACAGAGCAACTTTCACTAGAAGCAGCCGCTAAGGGAATACCCCCTCTTGTCCTGGAAAGGCTCAAACGAGTTAGTGGCAGCTAAACCCCCAGCCCTAAACCCAAAAATCTTAACTAAAGCCCTAAGACTTTAAGACCCAAAGCCCGAAAACTTTAAAGCCCTAAAGCCCTGAAAACCCAAACCCGAAGCTGTTAAGCCCAGGACTCCGAAGCAAGACAAAGCATGGCCACCAGACCTGTCTCCGGTCGACTCCAGCAGCTTGACCTCTGGCGCCTGGCGGACACTAAGACTTTCCCTTGACGGTCGGTGTATGCATGGCCACCGAGTGTGTGTTTCAAATCGTGTCGTACTCGGCCGTCACCAAGCAGATCAAGGTGCCTAAGAGTGTGTCGTTTGAGACTGTCTTCCAGGCTTACGCAAAGTGGCTGGGGCACTGTAAACACACTGATCTCACATTCTCCATCAGAAGGGCTCATACAGGCAAGCCTGCCGGTAAAGGACTTTTTGGGGGATGCCACATCTGCCATTTTGGAGGTGATTACGCCCACCGAGCGTGAGCTCGTCACACTGGCGAACAGCCTTCAAAGCGCTTTTAGAACAAAGACTGACTTCGAGAGCGTTCCATGCTGATGAAGACAGCGCTACTTCACAGCGTGTGCTGCGCCAGAGCGGCTTCGAACAGTACCCGGGTACAGTTAAGCCTTACAGTTGCAGTTCCGCATGGAGACTTTTTTGTTTAAGTCCTTGTTGCACACCTTTATTAAAATAGTATTCCGACTACTTTATACCGAATGGTTTATTTATGAATCTGCATCGAATTTGTTTTTCCTTTCATGTGCTGCGAGGATTTTGTCAGTCGCTGTGCCGAAAGACCTGGTGGACCCCGAGAGTCTGTTCCTTGCCATCACAGGGGCGAACGTGGATTCGATAAGTCTGGAGCGGTGGTGCCTTCTTGGGCTGGAGCATGTGGAAGTGGTTCAGCAATGTCGCCTTTTCGCCGACAGTGCTGGCCAAGAAACTTTGCAGCTGCTCATGCCGGGCACGTGTTGCCAGTGCTTGGCCCCTCCGGAACTTACTGGCGTCCGCAAGGTCTTGGTAGGCGACAGCACTGGCTTCCTGGAGGTCGCGTACACTCGCAAGGCATGGCCACAAATCCAACTGTCAGCTGCGACGGTCGATGCAGACCTGGCCCAGCTACACGCCAAAGCCGCCGATGCTGGAGAAGAGGCTGAAGAGGCGCGAGCTGCGGAAGAAGATGAAGCCATTGACCGCGTGCTGGGCTTGGAGGCTGGGGATGACGAGGAGGATCTGCAGCCACAGTCACAGGTCCAGCCACAGGTGACTCGAGTCGACCCCCGAGGCCGACCGCTGCGACAGAAAGTGCTGGATGACATTCGGCGCCTGCAAAGAACCACAAGATTTTTGATGCCTAAGATTTGTGTTGCTCGCGTTGTCAACGACATCACGAAGAACATCGTTCGGGAAGAGGCAGAAAGAGCCGGCAAGGATCCTGCAGACCTCCCGCCGTACAAGTTCTCCAGTCAGGCCTTGGAAGTTGTTCAGACAGCTCTTGAAGGCTATCTGACAGATCGATTCGCTGATATGAACGCTTTGGCACATCATGGAAAACGTGTTACAGTGCAGCCCGAAGACGCTCGCTTGTACAAGCGGCTGCGCAGAGAGTGGCTGCTTGCAAGCAAAGCCCCTGCGCAAAGACGACACGCACAAAAAGCTACCTCGAGAAGTCAGGTTCTAAAGTGTTTGTTTTGCTCTCCGCCTCTTTGGGGTCACCCTAGTCCTGAGTTCAGGGAGGTTGTGTGGTTGTAGGGGTTGGGCTTGATTTCTGGCTGGGTGTGAGGGTGTTTTCTGCTTCAGGGTTTCAAGGCTATTCTGGTGTTGTTCAGGGCGGATTTTCCCCCAAGCCCTTAGCCGCTTAAACCCCAAAGCCTAAGACCTTGAAGCCCCCAAGCCTTAAACCGCTAGGCCCCAAGCTGCCAACGGTCGAGGTTTGGACGTCGGGGGGCCAGAGTAGCTGCAGGTACAACTTTCAAACGGCGCTGGTAGATTTATGGCAATCTCACAGCCCAAAGACTTCCCCGACGGCTTGTGCTCTTTTGTGGTGGGGTTCGGTGCATTTGTGCGCCATTTCGGTTCTAAAACCCAAACGTCTACAACAAAGCTTCAGAGACTGGAGCTAATCCCCAGACCTTTAAACCTTGAAACCCCGGAACCCTGAAACACCTAAACTCCTAGGCCCATAAAACCTAAACCGTTAAACCCTAAACCCATGAAGCCCTTACGAAACCTTCAATCCGTAAACCCCAAGACAGGGGTGCTTTGGCGGCTGCGCGGCGCTCCTGGCCTTGGAGTACAACAAGACTGGCCTCGAGGAAACCCGTTGCCTAATGTAGGGAGGGGTTTAGGGTTTGAGACAGGACTTCAGGGGGTTTAGGGTTTCGGGCTTAAAATAGGTCCGAAAAAATTAGCAATATTATTCCTTTCGGTTTTCTTATGATGAGGATACTATAAAAAGGCCCCTATAATGCTTGGGCCTTGGTTGTTTCGGAGGTTGGAAGGCGGCCTGGGGCTCAGAGGCAGGTCCCTTTTTGGGTCCCCAATATAGTACGGCACCCTTATAAAAGGACCCCTAAAAGGGACCCTAATTTAGAGAACTATCCAAATCCGAAACCCTTGACCCTAAACCCTATAAGCCTAAGCCCTAAACCCCAAAAACCCTAAACCCTTGAAGGAGGCACCGAGTCTGTGGCCCCTCTTCAAGACCCCCAGGCCGCCTCACGTAGCCAAAGCTTGTTCTTGGCTCTTGTTCAGGGTTTCGGGTTTAGGGTTTAGAATTGCCACTGCTATTCTTCAAGGTTCCTTTTTGTTACTTCTAGCATAGATTATAAACCATACTGTAGGAGCCTGATTAAGAAACCCTGGTCCTATAACCCCCCAACATATTGGGATTTATATAAAGAGCCCTAAGGAAGACGCAGAGTTTCTTAATCAGGTTCTTGCATTACCCCAACGCCCTGTTAAGATTATTAAGTCCAAAACCCAAAACCCAAAATCCAAAGCTCAAGACCCTAAACCCAAAACTCAAAACCTCTAATTATGAAGTCCCATTAAGCTTTATGAGATCGCCAAGGAGCTGTCCGCCCGCAGACCCCTAGCGCCCTACATCCTATACTCACAAAATCGAAGCAACACAGAGGCCTTATTAGTTGGAATAGGGTTTTAGGCTACATTATATTATATTCATAACAAGGGAACCCCCCAAATAGTATTGGTAATTATTTAGGCCTCTATATCAACAGTCTGAACCGCAAGCTTCATCACAGATTCCTAGATACCGATAGCCAGGCAGTGAATAACTGGGCAAGGCTTCAGGGAGTTCAGGGTCGCTGGGCCAAAATGTGTGCACAGTTTTGTTTCTAGTAAATTGTTGCCGGCCTGCCTGTGCGGTAAGCCGCCTTTAGCTCAGCGGGTAAGCGAGCAGACTGATCGACTTTGTCGAAAGTGTGTGGGCTCGATCTCTGTTGTTTTCTGATCTTGTTGTTGGTTGTCCATGAAAGCAGCGAACCCAAAACCCTAAACCCAAACCTGAACCTGGCTTGTCCAAGACGTGAGAGCAGAAGCCCAAGGCCCGAAACCATAAGCCCTCCTCTGCCGTAAACTGTAAATGCTAAGCCATCGAGACCGTAGCCTCCAGCCAAAAACCTTTGCCAGCAGGTCACCACGGACGAGTTCTACCACGATGGGGGTTTAGGGCTTGGGTTTAGGGGGTGAGTTAGGATTTAGGGGTTAGGAATAAGGGAGTTCAAACAGTAGGACCCTGCATGCGCGAGGCAGAAATAGCACGCGAGAGACGAAATAAATTTGCGTGGTGAAATTATTCTGGAAATAATTAGTGCCCATATTGAAACATGAAATTACGCGGTACGAGATAAGAATTATTATAATTTGCCCAGTCCTGGCTTTGATGCAGCATTGCCTGGTGTGCCCCGACAGGTCACTCATCAAGTCCTGGCTTCACATGTACGCTCAGCGCGTGATCACTCCCCTGCTGCCGGACTTGGCCACGAGAGTGGTCGGAGCTTATGGAGCCGTGATCAATATAGATTTCTCCAGCTCGGACAGCAAGCAGCTTCTGCCCAAGCGAAGGCAGCGTGTCCCGACCGCCAAGACCAGCCAGGCTGCTGCTCAATCAGCCCCCCGTCAGGTGCCTGTGCGCCGTCTGAAAGGTAGGTTGTGGTCTGGGTGCAGCTCTGTCCTGGCCGCTCCCAGCCATGGAAGAAAACGAACCTGGGGAGCTGCCACCGGCCTGGATGATATGCCTCTTCTGCCCTCTCTCTTTGCCCGCGCAGAAGATGCATCGACCAAGCTAAAGCTTTTAAAAGTTTCTTTGAGGCCACCGATCCTTTTTCCTGGTTCACTTAAGGCTCCCCTCATTCTCTGCCTCATGGTCCTGCAAGCCCCTGAGCCAGGTTGGCAGCACGAGCCGGTGTTCGCCCAGTGGCCATATGCTTCGACGACCTCGAAAATTCCTGGCTCATAGCAGCCAACGCGTTGGAAGCTCACTTCCCGGCGCAGGTGCATCGCAAGTTCGTTGCTCCGCAGTGCCCACTGACTGAGCGACATGAGGAGATGTTAGCCCATGGCCACATCATCCTGGACAGAGACCATCGGGTAGCTCACGGTGTCTATCTCGGACAAGATGCTTTGCATGTGTTTTTCCGGCTCGCAGAAGCCATCGAGTGGCGCAGCTGGGATGCTGCGTGGTGTCTTCGCTGCGCAAGACAACTCCTGCATCGCTGGACTCATGTTTCAGGCCCAGACACAGCTGTCGAGCATGTGAAGGCTGAGATGGCGGAAGGCTTTGTAATGGCTTGCGGTCGGGGACTTCGCGGCCACGGACATGAACCAGCTTCTCCAAGCTTATTTCCGGGGCGAGGTCATCCCTCAAGATGCTTTCGGTTTCCTCTCACGTCATACTCACACTGGCTGGAAGCATCCAGACTCCGATCAGGCTCTGCCGGACTGTGCTCGAGCCGTCATTCTGCAGGATCTCGCCCGAGTGACCGACGTGGCCGGCTTCCCCATGCAGGAGGCGAGGCATTTCCGAAACAGTCCCCGCTGCATATAGACAGTCCCCTGCGCCTCCAAGGTGCGCCGCCAGGTGGACATGCTCCTGTACAAGGCAGAGATTTCCGTCGAGTCCATCACAGCTGAGTTGAGTGCATTCGAGAACCTGTTTCGGCATCGCTGCTTTGCCACAATGGCAGGTCGTGGCAACGGCCTGTGGGCGAGAGCGCAGCTGCGGTACTTGCGGCACGTCAAGACACGCCCCCGAGGCCCCAAGAAATCCACACGTGCCACCTCGCGTTGCAATGCTGGCTGTGGCTTGGTGGCTGGCGGAGCTTGTCTCGCCAAGGCAATCCGGCTGCAGAAGCGGCCCGCGGTGGTCCAAGGATTGATAGCCGCTCACCAAGCCAAGGCCTGGGCGGCTGCTCGCGGCTGGTCGTTGTCAGCTGGAACCATCGGCACTGAGCGACTCTGGCGGAATCGACAGCGGCGCGCCAAGAACAAGGCGCGTGCTGTGGGGGACGCCATCACTGTCAACCTGCTGGAGCTTTCTCGATGGCAAGCCGAGGTGCAGAGCCGCATGTTGCATCAACATGGGCGGGCAGATGTAGCCGTGCAACCTTGGCTTTCAAGTGCCTCCGACCGGGTCGCTGCGGCACTGCTGCTTGATGATGCCTCCGACTCGTTGCACGACCCCCTGGCGGCCGAGCCGGTTGGGCCGCAAGCAGACCCTTCCAGGAAGACTTCATTGGTGGCCTCTACGAGGCCTTTGCGCGAGGTGAGCTGTGACATGACCAGTCCCGGCCGGTATGGTGACGGCCTCTACATACGTGATGCACTCGGGATGCTACAGGCCGCCGTGCGTGTCAAGGCATCGCAGAACAAAAGGAAACCTTGAGAGCTGCTTCTGGCCTTCACGCAGAGCCCAAGCTCCAAAACCCTGCGGGCAGTCGATTAGCGGGGTGATTGCAGGCTGCGGCGAACGACTGGAGCCGCTGAGGAGTTTCAACACTTCGGTTGCCTTGCTGCAGCTTGTTTGCTTAGCTTGGGGCTTCAGGTCTCCGGATCTGCTCGGGCTCTCGGGTTTAGGCTCCATGTTCGATCAGTGGGCGGTTACTGTTGTGGATCTTCGGATGTATCGTCTCCGTGTTCGATGTATCGTCTTTGTGTTCGGGGGTCTCTGGTTCGTGCGGTCTGCTTCGGTATGGGAGAACAGCCCCCTTGGCACAACACATCGTCGAATATCCGGTATCTTCTGCAGCCCCAACCCAGGTTCGCGCAGAACACCAATCTCCGAAACCCCGGATTTCGGGCTTCAGGTTTGGGGTTTCGGTGTTTCGGGAAAGGCCCAGGGCCTCAGGATAAAGGTTTCTGGTAATGATTTCCCCGTCCAGTCTCCCGGAAATTGTGCAATAATATACGTATGTATGTATGTATATATATATAACGAAATCCTACACTTTAAGAAGGCTTGTATAGTCAAACACAAAGATCGAATCAAGTTTGACAAGTCTGAAATCGCAGGACAAGGACATCGAGACATTCAGAAAGCCCCTGGAGGCGTGGGTTAAGAAGTCTTGGCACAGTGTTTCGGAATGCCAGCTTCTGTGTAAAACCTAAGCCCTGAACCCTAAACCCCCATCAGCCCTGAACCCTAAACCCCATTATGTGTGTGTATTGTATGTTTCGGTATATGTATATGCATACGTGTATGTACAGATAGACAAATGTACATATGCGTATGTGTATGTGTATATATATATATATGTATGTATCAGCTCGGAGCTGCGATTGAATTTCTACTGTTGATGATATAAACCCTGCATTACCTGAAGCACCATAAACTATGGGAAGTATGGTATAGGCCTTATTATAGGCAATGCAGATTTATATCAACAACCGTAGTTCAGGGAACCCTAAAGCTAATCACCTTCATCCCTAGGCCGTAGTGATGGAAGACCGGATCGCGAACAGCCAGCAAACCTTCGAAGCGTGTAGATTTCTGTAGCTTCGCTCTAGATTCCGAAATAAAAACCCCAATCCCCTAAAAGTGGTTGGTTCAGGGAAACCCTAAACCCCAAACGCTGTACCTCCAAGCCTTAAGCTCTGAGCCTTCACCTGTTGGATTTGGATGCGGCGCAGTGTCAGGTTTGCACATGTATTAAATGGGCACTTCTCTAAATTATGGTCCCTTTTTTTGGGCCCCAATATAGAGAACTACCCAAACACTCGTGCTTTTCAGGGTTCCTTATCAGACTTATACTTTTCCGTACCCCGAAACCCACTTATACAGAATAATAATGGCCGCCAAAGTACCCTGAGGCCCTAAGGAACCTCCTAGAGAGGGTCCGGTGCCTTTTGGAAGCCAGGCCAGAGTTTGTTGGGCGCATCATGAGGGTTTAGGGTTCAGGGGTTTAGGGTTTAGGGTTTGGCTTTGAGTTTGGTCAACGTCAACTGACTTTGTGCGCAATCATGGAGTCAACATCGAATCCGAGAACCTAAAGGAAGATCCCGCTCCCGGGGTTGAGC